TAAAAAAAAAAAAAAAAAAAAAAAAAAGGAGAGAGAAGAGACAGCGCTCGGGGTCATTACAGGTTGCCCTGTGTAACTTTGAGTGTATGTCAAATTTCTGTTGAGAACGAAGTAACCCCATTGCCAAGCTCTTCGTGGCTAGTACAGCCATTTTCACCTATATAAATGTTTGTACACGTCAGCTGGGAATTCTTGATTTATTTTTAGAACACAGCTATCCTCTTTCTTTTAATAATACTGTTTCCTCTTTCTATTAATAAATCATTATTAAAGTCGTTTTGTTCCTTCAGTTTGAATAGAGAAAGCGCGAAGACATCTATAACGATAATTCAGCTATGTGTCGTCGGCGGCCAAGAGGTTAGCCCCTCAGACTTGCAACCATAAGGTCGTGAGTTCGAATCCTGCAAGAGGCTTCGTGGGAAGCCGAGAATGTTTCTGAGTGTGCTATATGAATGCTATTATTATTATTATTATTATTATTATTATTATCAGCATTATTATTGTTATAATTAAATAATAATACTAGTAATTTAATAATAATAATAATAATAATAACAACAATAACAACAATACAATTAATGTAATAGCGATTTTGTTTCCTTTCTTGAACCCCCAAAAGATCAAATAATTGCGTGCACATTATGACCATTACTGTGTTAACAGCGCCGTAAAACACACGCTCTGCCACACCCAGAACAGTGCAAAAATGTATCCAGCCCAAGTGAACACCCCATAATCCTGCAAATATGCACGTACGTATACAAAACCTGGTATCACAGCATTTTCGATTGATTGATTGATTGACATTTATTTATTTATTTAATTAATTATTTATTTATCTATCTATCTATCTTTATTTATTTATTTATTTATTTATTTATTTATTTATTTATTTATTATGTATGTATGTATTTTATTTATTCATTCATTTATTTGTTTATCTATTTATTTAGTCAAGTCAATGGCGTAAAGCGAAGGAGGTAATACAGTTTTAGGCCTACGGTCCTTGTGTCAAACCAACCCCCCCCCCCAAAAAAAAAGACAACAACAAAAACAAAACAAAACAACAACAACAAACAAACAACAACCCACAACAAAAACAGACTAAGCCCAGACTTCCCTCATTTAATTTCTTTTCTTCCTATTTTTTAAAAGCGGTTTTGTATGTATCTTTGTTGAACCCAAAACATAAAATTGCGCGTACATGACCATTACTGAGTTAACAACGCCGTAAAACACATGCTCTGCAAGCGCAGTTAAAAAAATATCCAGCTAAAGTGACCACCCAATATCCTTCAAACATACACGCATTAATACACCGAACAGAGACAGTAATTAAAGATAATTTTTTATCTGAATGTTATTTGAAAAAAAGAAAAGAAATTGGTACAATACAAATATATAACAATAATAAATTATCATAAAAAACGGACAAATTATAATAAAGAGAAAAGGGAATGCTCCCTGTTGAGAAAGGAATTGTGTACAAGATGGCAACCCTATGTCACAATTGTTTGAATGATAATGCACCATCATATTTATCAGATCTGTTAAGACTACATTCCAACTCGCAGTATAAGGTCATCAGCTGACAAAAAGAAATTTATTTTACCATCTTTAAAAAAAAATAAAGTAGAGGGTTTTACGGCGCTCGCAACTGCATAAGGTCATATGAGCGCTTTTACCATCTATGAAACTTAAAACAATGGGTGAAAGGGCTTTTGAACACTAAGGCCCCAAGATATAGAATGCTTTACCAATTAGTACTTTAAGAGAGATCAATTCTTTTGATTAATTCAAATGTCAGCTGAAGCCGCTTCTGTTTTTAAATTAACAAGATGAATAATTTGAGTGATTTTCTTTTAGTCAGAACACAACGTTTTATGTTGTATGTTGTACTGTATTGTAAAGCGCTCAGAGCTTGTGTACTTTAATTGGGGTAGAGTGCTATATGTCATTTATTATTATTAAATTATTATTATTATTATTATTATTATTATATTTTAAAACAGTAAATCATAATTAATAATAATATTTAAACTTCCACTGAGTTTACATATTACAGAATAACAGCCATGAAATGATATCCATTTAAAATTGAAATTTAAGGGGAAAAAAAAAAAAAGGAGAGAGAAGAGACAGCGCTCGGGGTCATTACAGGTTGCCCTGTGTAACTTTGAGTGTATGTCAAATTTCTGTTGAGAACGAAGTAACCCCATTGCCAAGCTCTTCGTGGCTAGTACAGCCATTTTCACCTATATAAATTATTGTACACGTAAGCTGGGAATTCCTGATTTATTTTTAGAACACAGCTCATATCCTTTTTCTATTAATAAGGTTTCCTCTTGCTATTAATAGATTATAACGAAAGTCGTTTTGTTCCTTCAATTTGAATGGAGAAAGTGCTTATAACCAGCTTTGTTCTATAACGATAATTGAGCCATGTGTTGTCGGCAACCAAGAGGTTAGCCTCTCGGACTTGCAACCATAAGGTCGTGAGTTCAAATCCCGTCAGAGGCTTCGTGGGAAGCCGAGAATGTTTCTGAGTGTGCTATATAAATGCTGTTATTATCATTATTACATTTTGTATTATCATTGTCATTATTACTAGAATTATTATAATCATCATCTTGATTATTATTATTAGAGTCTATTACTATTATTATTAGTAGTAGTAGTAGTAGTATTATTATTAGTATTAGTATTATCATTATCATTATTATCATTATCATCATTATCATTATTATCATTATTATTATTATTATTATTAGTATTATTAGTATTATTATTATTATTATTAGTATTATTATTATCATTTTCATTATTATTATGGTGTGCCTATCTGCCCAATGCACGTTTGTTTTTGAGGCGACGAGTCGAGCACGACAGCTAGTGCCACGATAGCCCAAACCGCCCCGCCCTATACGTTCTTATACTATCTCTGACCGTCTAGGCCCCGCCCCGCCCCGATCCCCCAATGGACACCCCGTTGCGAGTCAGGCGATCGGTTAGTTGTGCCACAATGGTCGCTTTTCGCCCTCAATCTGGCTTGCCCCGCCTACCAAACCAAGCCGGTCGTTCCAATGGTATCAAGGTAAGTAGGTTACACAGTTATAAGGTCCTCGTGTCAAGCAAAAAACAAAACAAAACAACAAAAAACAAACTAACAAAACAAAACAAAACTAAAAAAAAGCCCAGGATCGGCCTTTCCTACATTCTTTAATTTTTTTTTAGCGGTTTTGTTTCCTTTATTGCTCCCCAAACGATCAAATTGCGCGTACATTATGACCATTACTGTGTTAACAGCGCCGTAAAACACATGCTCTGTCACATCCAGCACAGTGCATAAATGTATCCCGCCCAAGTGAACACCCAATATCCTTCAAACATACACGTACGTATACAAAACCTGGTATCACCGCATTCTTTCTTTCTTATTTATTTATTTATGTATGTATTTATTTAAGTATGTATGTATTTATTTAAGTATGTATGTATTTATTTAAGTATGTATGTATTTATT